CTGGTCGAAAGCTCTAGGTGAGAGAACTTTTTGTGTTGGAACAAAAGTTTTAACTTTAAACATGTAACTACCAACACAGATGAACTTTCATGATAGTATAAGATGAATCGATCTACGCCCTAAACTTGTATAAAGTCAGCAGGTTTGCTTGGTAGAAAATAATGTATCATAATGTACATGGAAAGGAAAGGAAAGGTCTCCCATGCTTCTTATGCAGAGCGTAGGGTGGTGCCCATATCCATTTCTGTAGCCCTTGGGCGACACACAGTTGTGCAATGCACTACAGCAGGGGGCTGGTCCGCTAGTAGTGCTGTGTGTTTGACCTCCCCACACTTTTTCTCATATGTGCTGAGTGCTAAGCAGAGAAAGAAGTGTGTACCATTTTTAAAGTCTTTGGTATGACCCGGCCGGGGTTTGAACTCACGACCTCCCGGTTACAAAGCGAGCACTCTACCAATTGAGCTATTGCACCGGTTTATATTGCCTGTTGTAATTTGTAATTTTGTACTCTTTGCACTTCAGCAAGTCTTATCCCTGCTGTAAGCAGTGGTCGAAATACTTTTTTTCAGTGCTCTGCAATATTGCAGAAGAGTCAAAATTTTGTTCTGCAATTTGGAAATACTTTCTGCAAATACACAAGCCTCCATACTACAATCTTGCAGGTTTATAAGCATGAACTATTGATTGATATGCAAATTAGTGAAGACAAATTTTTGAAGTCCAAAAAGAAACAAAAGATACTATTAGACAAGTCAAGACAAGGTTGATGCAAATTAGTGAAGAAGCTCCTGTTGTTTCAGAATAGGAGCTTAAGTGTTGTCTGTCCTTGGGGCCAAGAGCGCCAAATCCCAAGTGCCAATTTTTCCTGCTGCAAAATTGCAGATTGTATAAATTTTTCTTCTGCAATCTTGAAAATCTATCTGCAGATTGCAGACTGCAGACTGCAGACAGGTATTTCGAACACTGTGTAAGGTTTGCTTTTTGGCATCACGAAAAAATAAAATAAACAAAATGTGGCAGAAAACAGTATTAGAAAAGAAACAAAAAAAGAAACTGTAATTTTTTTGTCTGAATCAACATAAAACCTACAATTGAAAATTTGTAGTCCAAAGTCCAATTTCTCGTGTACATGTACAGTTTATATTTGATCCATAATGAATTCTACCAACACAGATGAACTTTCAAGATAACATAAAACATATGATGTATCTCCTTTAACCTAGATCCATTAACATTAACATATATCATACGCCAAAAAAACAGTTACTCAAGCAACTGGATATGATTTTGAAAACGTCAGACGTTTCAGCTAGTATCCACTAGCTTTCGTCAGTGACTGAGAGACCAGAGGGGAAAGCAGGTTTATATACACAACCTGTTGATTGATATGCAAATAAAGTGAAGACAAATTTTTGGAAGTCGAAAAAGGAACAAAAGTCAGACAAGTCAAGACAAGATGATGCAAATTAGTCTGAAAGCTCCTGTTATACGTATATTGTATATCCGTATAACAGGAGCTTTCAGACTAATTTGCATCATCTTGTCTTGACTTGTCTGACTTTTGTTCCTTTTTCGACTTCCAAAAATTTGTCTTCACTTTATTTGCATATCAATCAACAGGTTGTGTATATAAACCTGCTTTCCCCTCTGGTCTCTCAGTCACTGACGAAAGCTAGTGGATACTAGCTGAAACGTCTGACGTTTTCAAAATCATATCCAGTTGCTTGAGTAACTGTTTTTTTGGCGTATCGTATTACCTGGATGTCTAACCTTCATCGACGTATTAACATATATCCATTAACCTTTATCCATTGACCTAAATCCATAAACCTGTTTACATTAACCTATATCCATTAACTTAAACCCATTAATCAAAATATGTTCTTTAACCTACATGTGGATCAACTGGTTGCCACAAACAAAATCTGGTCACCCCAAACATGCTGGACACCCTTCACATTGTACAGTCACTTTCTGTGTTATAGAAGATGCTCATTTTCACCTGTTTCCTAGAGGCAGCTTGTAGGACTTGGCCCCTGCAGCTAGAGAAGTCAGCTGGTTTCCCATACAGATGCCAAAAATGGGCTCAGGTCTTTCCATCTGCAGAATCTACACAACAAATGTACAAAATCTTCAATAAATCTTTTAACCATGTCATCAACGGACACTTGGTGCTGAAACATTCAGAAGTTCAGCACCAAGGACAGGGGTATCAAACTTTAATTGTACTTTATTACCTGTTTTTGGTGATGCCTGAGGGGCAGAGACATTTTCTTTGAACAGTTCTATATTCCAAATATGGCAGTAAAGCTTGTAGGGTCTAAAATTATTGTTCAAGGAATTCAGCACCAAGGACAAGACATATCAAACTAGAAATGTACTACAGTCTCTACTGTTTTTGTTGACACCTCAGGAATGGATGCATTATTTCCCAAATAGTGGGTTCCAGGAATTCAGCACAAAGGACAGGGCATTTCAACGTTGAGATGCATTTGAGTCCCTGTTTTTGATGAGACATTTCTTCTCAACAGACATATCTTCCAAGAACTACAGAAGTCTTGAGTAGTGCTGTGTGCCTAAACCCACATTTAGGTTCAGGTCCGGATTCAAGTCCAGAGGTTTAGGTTCAGTTCCGGACTCGTAAGTCCGGACCTTAACCCATGCATATACAGAATTGCATGCTGGCAACCTTGCAATGCATTGTTGTATGGGCAAAACTGTGGCCACATAACATGGAGGCCAACACTCGACCATGCCCGATGGCAATGTTTTCTTCATTTTGCAGCACATCTTGCAATTTGGAAAGAAAAGGGGGTATGTGACAAATATTTTTTTGTAATAAGTCCGGAATCAGTTCCAGACTTTTAGTGTTTTTTTTTGGACTTTTTTACAAGTCCGGAACTGGTCCAGCGAACTGGTACACAGCACTAGTCTTGAGCCTCACCTGCTGCAGGTTGTCTATGGCCTCCTTGGCGAGCGCGGGGTCTCCCGGGCCGTTGGACACGAAGAGCCCGTCGTAGCTCTCTTCCTTAATGTTGTGGTCCCAGGGAACGACATGAACCTCTGCGCCTCGTTTCACCAGGTTACGGATCATGTTGTGTTTGATCCCACAATCCACTGCTATCACCTTCACAGGGTTGCCCTTCCCAAAAATCTGCACTTCCTAAAGTAGGAGATCAAAACAAGGGACTTTTAGAGCAAATTTTTGTGATAACTAGAGAGGTGATCCAAAAAGCAGTTATTCAAGCAACTGGATATGATTTTGGAATTCAGTCAATTCAGTTGCTTGAGTAACTGCTTTTTGGTGTATCTCATTACCTGGATGTCTAACCTTCATCGACATACTAGAGAGAGGACGTTCACAAAACAAATGCATACGTTTACCTTCAGATGGTCTAGCCTAACAAACTACTGCTTTGTTTATTCTGACTTAAAGTTAAAAACATTCAGGCCCTCCAACTCTGTGCTGTAGTCAATTGCTACATAATGTAACCCAACACCGCAGTGTGTCTGCTACAGAAACCAGTTACCATGGTGACAGACGTCTGGTCAGGGTCACTAACTTTATTTGTTTGGAAGGGAAGAAGAGGACGAAGAAACAAAGCAATAACAACATGTTTTCCTTCTGCGAAAGTAAAGATAAAATGCTTTCAATCACCTAGCATGGTTCCTTACTAAGTCATACACTGTATATTGTTTATATCATTCATATATATTTTACCACCTAAAAAAAGGAGTGAGAACAAAATATACCTTGGTGGACACTTCTGCCATGAGGTTCCTCAGGTTGGGGTCAATGAACTCTATTGGATCTCCCTCAAACTCTATCTTCCCCAGTACAGTTCCCTGTGTAGGAAAATACTATGTGAAACCTTTGCCTTACTAATAATCTCATGCTACTCCTTATCATAACAGCCACCAGGTACATCTTTTCACTTTTGATTCCTAAAAATATACAGTTATCTTAACACAACACAATGAAAAAGTATAAGTCTGTATATTGTCTGTATATTGTTCCTTTTTATCTGGGAAGCTTGGACTTGAAATAAAATATTATGTAATGATATGTACCATACATCTGAGAGCCTTATTTATTACTCAAAGCAATACAAAAATAGCACATTCAAGACAGGAGCTGGGAAGAGTTGTACATGTGTATGTTACACTGTTGCTGAGTGAGCAACGCCTCCTAGCAGAGTTTAGCAACACTGCATGTGACTATTATCCCTCATACAAACCCTGTCTCTGATGAGTTTGGTGAGCATCCTGGTGTCGATACCGTACAGAGCAGGCACCCCCTCATCCTTCAGCCACTGAGACAGGGACTTCACAGAGTTCCAATGGCTGTGGTGGTGGGAGTAGTCCTGTACAAGCAGGCCTGCTACCTGTAGGGAAAATAAGTGTCTTTACAATCTCTGTATTAACTAAATATGATATATGATATGTCTTCTGAAATCTTTCTGTATATATATCATAAACAAAGTTAAAGTCTGTCTACTATTTGGACACAAGATATGCATCTACTTATTCTTTATATTATGGTAAGTATATTCTTTGTAGTAGACTTCCATTAACTGAATTCTGTTGACTCTATGAATACAGTTTTCTTGCACCTCCATCAAATGTACAATTCTTGCACAATTCAATAGTACTACAAGCTCAAACATGTTTAGAGATGAAAATATTGTTTCCACAATTTCATGAATTTTTGATAACACACTAACTCACTATGAAGTAATGAAAACTGTAAATTGTCACTTTGACAGTTAGCCATAAAACATACATGTATTCTGTCGGACTCCACATACTGCATGAGTCCCATCTCGTCTCGCAGCGCGGTGTCGGGTACGCCGTAGTTCCCCACGATCGGATACGTCAGTGTCAGGATCTGTCCACGGTAGCTCGGGTCTGTCAGGGCCTCCGGGTAGCTGGGTTGGGAAGGAAATAAAACAATTTTCTGTCAAGATCCTTTCTTTTGGATACGTCAATTCAGTAAAGTAGCATAATATGTAACATTTTGTCCTTAAAATATTTTATTTAAAGAAGTACTAGTGTGTTTGTAATTTACTTCCATTTTTCAACATATTTATGCAATAATCTCACATTTCTGACATTTATGGTTGGCTATAAAACAGCACACAAGAGTCCCACTCAGTTTGTAGTGCCACCACAAAATACCAGAATGTAAACAAACATGGCTGTGAGCAGTATTTCAAGCTTTTAAACACCCTCATACTCATAGGGTGTCAAATTCTCACACTTCTTGAATGGCACTTATTCGCAATGGAGTAGGGTTGATTCAATTTACCTTGTAAAGAATTGAACAGAATATTTACTTTTTGTATCGTCCTAATGTTAGTTACATAATGCAGCTTGAAGGAAATTTTCTATTGGGAAGTTGCAATGTGATGGGTATCATTAATACTTAATTGATAATAATATCATTAATACTTACCCCACCAGTCCAGTGTTGAAGACCACCTCTCCTGCCATAGACCTCTCATTCCCAAAGGAGTAACCCTTGACTTTTGTTCCATCTTCCAGTATCAGGGATGCAGTCCTGGGCTGTGGTAAAAAGAAACCAGTGTTGTCACAAACTGTACAGTGGACTGATCCCACTGGATTGCTGCTATACTATCTAGTGGCCATGGAGTCCATTGGTATATGTACTGAGACCTTAGAAAAATTGTGTTTCCTGTTTCCCGACAGACACTTAAGAAAAACCTGCCGACCCAAGACTTTTTTTGGTTGGACCCCTGCTAAAATTACAGCTAATTCAGATAGATAATGTTGAGTAATTGTTAATTTTCTTTCTTCAAATTTCAATACCTTGATGTTAATGCTATTGGGATAAAGAATGTAGAATACTGATCCATTGATGATTAAGCCTTGAATTGTTTACGATCCAACTATAATAAATTTGGTTTCTCACTACCCCATATAGAATACAGTAGTCATATTTTTCTACCATTTGTCATGCTCTGACGAACTTAATGGTTTTCTTTTGTCAGAGAGCAGTCTCTGGCACCTGTGCTTTCCCACAAAACTCCTCATAAACCTTACTATTGGTAGCCTCTGAATACCACCTGTTAAATCTTACAGTAAGATAGGCATGGCCTTTAAGTAGTTTTCCGCAGAATACCTTTTACTAGCACATCGGCAGAATGTACTGCACCTGTGCGAAACCTGTAATGTATTGGGTATAGCACTTTGGCAGAACGTCTCATGTAAGGTCGTATTCATGCATATAAGGTTAACACTCTGTCTGCATGCGCAGTTTCCAAATGTTATATGTTGGAAAAGATATCCTCTGCTACAAGCAAAATTCTGGCGTAATGTTGACCAGAAATCCAACATGAAAAATGGGGGTTTCACGCAGGCGTAGTATGTTCTGATGGCGTGCTCCTTATCAGTTAACTCTACCTTTAATATAATAATGGTTTGCTCCTACAGAGATTGTATAAGACACTCAATTTGCAGGCAGTAATGAGGTCTGCGGTGCTGCCATTAATATCACTTTTCTTCTTATATCAAATCTCAGCAGGCTTTTAGTTCAATTGCGATGATTCGGGAAGCTAAACCATGAAATTGAAAATTTGAAGTCGTATCCTAAGAGAATACAAACTAGCCCGGGATGTCCTATGTTACTCAAAGAATTTGATTAAGAATTAGGAAGATGTTTTTTCTTTTTTTCCTGGTTATTTGGACCTAAACATAACATCCGGTACAGGTAAAGGGTCTAGAAGTAGAAGTCCAGATCTGTTACCTAAACAATTTGACAATGTAACTGTATGTAAACATGTAAATTCTCAATCATGACAGAAACAGTAAAAAGAATGTTTATTTACAATCATAGTAAAAGCGTCTTCAGTTTAATACACACGGTAATTTTAATTGCCCAAACGTTTTATTCCAGGGCTAGATTTTTATCTTTCTTGGGCTTGCAATTGGCATTTTTAGTAAAAAAAAACTATTATTAATTAACTTGTACATGTATGTGCTGGAGCGTACATTTGTCCAGATTTCTGCAGTACCATACACTGTACTGTGCAAAATAATAGGTAGAAGGGAAGAAGAATGCAGCTGTATTGCGAAGCAAGGGTAAAATTTATCACCCATTCACTCTTCCAAACCCCAGTTTTATGGTACGTGGGCCATAAGCTATCATTACTCAATCAGCACCCAGTGGAGAATTCTGCAGGATGTACTTCCCTTCAGCAGGGGCAGGGGTGAAGGGCAGTGTGTTTCATTTCAGGGCTGATGTATTCAGTACTTGACTCCTGGGCTGGGTGTAATCAATGGATCACAATGCCACTGTAAGGCCTAGGGAAGAAAATGTTGTGTTTCCTGTTTCCTGACTGACCCTAGAAAAAAACTGCCGACCCTAGCCTTTTTTGTGTGAACCCCTGGATATAAAGGACATAAATTTTTGAGCTGATCAACTTTTTCTAGCTCCATGATCTGACACCTGAGTGATGAAACATTGTACAATCTGTTTTCTAACATTGAAAATATAAGTGTCCTCATGATGTACAATTTTTACTTGGTTAAACTGTATTGTATAAACAAGGAGCTATATGGCTATAGCTATTCGCTATAACGTTGGATCACTAGAGATAACTAAAGTCTAAAAAGAAAAAGAAAAAACAACGAAGATAATCCCTACCTACCGACCATAATTTTTTCAGGACTGAAACAGAAAACACAACATTTTTTCCCTCGGCCTAATCAATAGATCGTGATGCCACTCCACCCAAGACTGTATCACAGATAAGCTAGGAGAGGGAGAGGAAATGGCATCGGGATGAAGGCAGAATTTAGATGAGGATGATTTACAGGAGGAGTTATTTTATCTACATGAAAAATATCTCGTAATATATCATATAAAGAACCTGCAATATATCATGATAGGCGTGATAAAGAAAACCTACTACTGAATGGGTGAAATAATCGTTAAAGAGTATTACATGAGCGAATATAGATGTTAGATACAGTGGTTATTTTTTAGTTTGTATCTGTATCACCTGATTGATAAGGGTGCCATCCTTCCTCCGTATAGTGGATGTGGAGAGCTTCCTAATGTCGTGTTTGATCGCGAGGATGAGTCGTTTCTGTAGCAGTCCTCGATCGCGCAGGACATTCGCTACACGGACCAGGTGAGACATGATGCGGCTCGGCAAAAACTAGATCTGGAACATACACAGGAAAAATAGGGGTAAAGTTATAAATCAACTTACATAATACTAAATCGAAGCTGGTGTGCTATGCCGAAAGGCAGTTATACTGGCTAGACAGATACAGATACATATACAGAATACTTGATGAAGTTATGGACAAACATATACTCGAGTTATCCTGCTAACAAACGACAAACAATAAAGTCCACTGCAGTAATGTAGGGACCCCCCACAAAGCCCATTTTTGAACTTGACCTTGGTCTCCCCAATGGTAACCTGCCTGCTAAAAATCATGAACATAGATCCGTGGCTTCAAGAGTTATGCCACTAAATCCACAGTCTCCCACCCTAAAGCAAACTGATTTTATACCCTTTTGATGAAGGCAATTAATCTTCTATTTTTTTAAAGTTACCTGAGTGAAAACCCTTTTGCTGAATGAGTCTTCTAAAACAATAATTGCACCTTATGAAATGAAGTATCTTTATCAAATCATGACTGCAACAAAAACACATAATCAGTTATCACACACATTTGAAAACCTGTATCACCCACAAAAATGTACAAAAAGCTTCCATTAGGCTTAGCTACATGTACACATGATCACATTGTGGTATCCGTAATGTAAATGACAAGAAGCAAATGTTATTAAGTGAATTAGCATGGCACACACGTATGCAATCTGGGCTCAATCCATTCCAATCGATTTCATCGCTGTAACTGGCGGTGAGTTACCAGCGGAAGCCGGCAGTTACGTTGTCTACGGAACCGTCTGACGTCAAACCGTCGGTTTATCCCCACCGCTACGATTGAATCAAGTCAGGCAGCTAATAGAATAGAAATTCCCATGGGACATAATGGTGGAGGTATTTCTGACGGGAAGCTTTTATTTGGGGACAAAACACAGGGGAGGGTTCAATGTCTGGACACATTAGACCATGGATAAGTCAAGGATAGGCCACATCAACCTGATTTTATGGACAATATCTTGTGGAAAAACAATGTAAAAAGATGAAATTTTACAAAAATTTAGTAAAGTCTTACAACATTTAAAATACATTTGTATACAGCCATATTATTACCATGCATACATCAAGGAAAGACCACATCAATCTGATTTTATGGTGAACATTTTATGGAAAAACAAGGTAAAAAGATGACATTTTAGTAAAAAAAATTTACTAAATAGTCAAAACATTTGGAAATTCAAATTTGTATAAAGCTATATCAAACTCGGCTATAATGCTTTATCTGTCATTTTCTACAGTAGAACTATATCTAACTACATTTTTTACTCCAGGCTATGAAAATAACAAAACACACTATCACATTCATTAACTCAAGCAACAAATTATTCCTTTTATTATTTCAACCTCAGAAGGTTTATGCAAATGTTACTTAAATAATCATTGGTCACTAAAATAGCCATCTACATTTAGCAACCTGAAAATAGAAACCACAGACCTCAAGTATTCATCATGAAAATAAATTGAAATGCTTACAATTGTAATTGCTTACACACAATTATTTACCATAAATATGAATTAATTATGGGATTTTTATGAGCACTCTACAAACTATACTAACACAATGTATCTGCTTAGGTTTTGAATTCATAAATATATAATACCGTTAGACAAAGATAATTTCAAACACACAGGTAGAATACGTACTAGAAATGATACACTATACATGTACTGCAAATGCACTACTAGCAGTAGTGGTTACCAAACCTATTTTAGCTCCAATCTCTTTCGTTCTCTCTGCAAAAATTTGATTTAGACTTAGCAGCTAAAATAGGCTTGGTGAGGCTACACATGTACAGTATTGAAAAAAATGAAAAGCCGTACAATGAGTTAACTATTTGAACGTATACCTACACTTCTAATGTTTACACCGCATTTCAGTAACAATGTTAACTGACACAAACCTACCTGTGATGTTAAGTCCCTTTCCGTTCTAACATTCTTCCCACACTGCTTTACTGTGAATAACAGTGCTTGGCAGGTGGTGAGGGTATGCATGGGGGTTAACAGGACCAGGAATTTTCATGATACTTATTTTTATTTCCAGGCAATTGTTGATGCAGGGCACATTTTGTGTAATCCTAGCACTATGCAATTCATAACTACTTTTACTATGAAGAAATTGATGACTGATCAAATAGACCACATACAATGTAGTTGAAGCTCAACCCTGCAAAACACTATTTATTCAATTCCTATACAGACTACTAGTATTATAAAATGCAAATGTACTAACATAACATGCTTCTTGTATGTGGGGACATCTAGCAGTTCAATTGCAAACTGCAGCTATTCCTACTATCTATTACCCAAGAACCCCCAAGTCCTACTCCTAGCAGAAATTTTGATTTCTCTGTTTAAATAATTTAAAACAGATACAGAAAAGTTTGGAACATCTTTTAGAAAGATACATAACACTCGCAGTACACTACGTTTTCTACGATGCCAGTGGCACAATACTACGATAGCTTCCTTTTGCCTCATATAACATCCAGTACCATATCCTACAATACTTCAAAATCACCAGGGTGCAAAAGGGTGCAACAGCTGCAAGAAGGAGATACCACACACTTGCCTAGTACCGTAGATACACACATTTTCTCTGGGACTTAATTTCATGGTGGAAGGGAAAAAAGAGTGTTTTAAAGTCATGATTGCAACAATTCGGTAGTACAGCAGTAATAGAATAGAAACACAGTGTCATGAATTTGCAGTACAGGGGTCACTATGAAAAACTGTGAAATTAAAATCACTGGGAATTTCAAGATACACAGTACCCAATAATTCAGAAGTATCACCGTAAAACTACACTATCAGTTGGATCCTATAATACCGCCTGAGTTTCGGAAAGACTGCAATAAGGTAATATCTATCCTCAGGGTGCATTACAAGCCTACATGTCACAACCAGTTGAACTGTATTCTATGCTATCATATCCTGTCCCAGCCTATATTCAAGCAGTTGAAAGGGTCAATGTGAAAAAGACCTATGTGGAGACAGAAGGTATACATGGGCTGATATCTGCAAGCATTCAGGTAGCAGCAAATTACCTGGTATCAGGAGACATGGAGTGAAAATACACAGTCAGAAAAGTGTTCATATCTGTTCAATGGTAGGCTAGCTATTGGGGTGAACAGGCATAGAATAAATCAAGTTTGAGTGACTTGAGAGCAGAAAAAAAAGAAGAATTTTCTTGAACACACACAACTGTTCCAATCAGTACTGGTTAATGCATATGATTCAGCATTACTGTATAATATTATAATTAAGTTAGCAGATTACTAGAATGTATAGATTATGGTACAAACTATTTTATAGTGAAAAAAAGCAATGTAAAAAGATTCAATCCTACCCAATAACATTTTACAGACGCACCTGCGAATGTAGATGACCCATCTGATGACGATAATTATGGGTTACTTAGCCTCCTCTCTTATGTATTGTATAGCATCATATAAGTTGTCTGTTAATCGATTCATATAATTATAAGATCCATATAATTATAAGGGGTGGTATACAGAAAAGACTTCAACAGAAAAAAAGTACTACCAACTTGGTCTTTGGACTGAAAGTTTCAAAAAGTTGCCAGTATAGATAGATAGATGGAAATTCAAGTTACACTTTACATGGTATATGCACAAAGATGTACTAAAGGTGTGCAGTAGCAGAGATTGAAATTATACCTGTTTCTGTTGGAGGAGTCTTGTAAGACGGTAAGTGGTACAACAAAACTGTGTCAGGCTAATTATAATGTTGTCTACAAACTAGAATGGTCCAAAAACTAGAACACACCATTCAGAAATGGGTTGGTAGAATTATAGATTATATAGACTTGTACATGCTAAAATATGAGAACTGATGCAATATCTGTATAATTTACTTGTCAACTCTACATGATATTTACAATATACACTGTACACAATGTTGTACTAAAGGTGCAAATTATCAGAAATTGGAATGATACTGGTACCTGTTTTTGTTGGAGGAGTCTTGTATTGTAACTTAAGTGGTCCAACAAAACTGTGTCAGGCTTAAATTATAGGTAGGCTAATTATAATGTTGTCTGTAAACTAGAATGGTCCAAAAACTAGAACACACCATTCAGAAATGGGTTGGTAGAATTATAGATTATCTGTCTTATAAACTTGTACATGCTAAAATATGAGAACTGGTATAATATCTGTATAATTTACTTGTCAAGTTGTCAACTCTACATGATATACAATATCTACACAATGTTGTACTAAAGGTGCAAAGTAGCAGAAATTGGAATGATACTGGTACCTGTTTTTGTTGGAGGAGTCTTGTATTGTAAGTAGTCCAACAAAACTGTGTCAAGCTTAAATTATAGGTAGGCTAATTATAGACTACAGACTATAGACTACAATGGTCTGAAAACTAGAACGCACCATTAAGAAATGAGTTGGTAGAATTATAGATATCTGTCTTATAAACATGTATGTGCTAAAATATGACAACTGGTACAATATCTGCATAATTTAGTTGTCTATATTAAGAATTCAAATAAAATGGTCACCACTCAACATTAGCTATAGTCCATTGTTACAGATACATGATATATGTCCAAAGTCCTATACCAAATTGTTCTATTTGTGACCTCTTATTCAAATGAGCATGGCCACAAATCTATCACAGTATTTAAGGACAAAAGGGTCCAATGTGCATGTCAACCATGATGTCATTCTGTCTGACCAACCTGTCTATCAAATAAAATGGGAGGGACCATTGATTGAACAAAGCCAGTTCAATCCAGAACCTAATTGAAACAAAAATAAGATGTTCATTGACAATTAAAGAAGCTGAAAAAAAGCTGGCAAGCAAAGGTATCTTTTTTCTTTTCTTTCGAGTAAACATTAGCACTAGACTCAAAAAGTTTTTGCAGAGATATTTAGAATGTCTTATTTTATAATGTATGTTAGTTATACAAACCATGGCCCAAACTGTGTGGCATGTTAACACATGGCGCCACATGTTTGCCCTAAACCACATTTACTCAAATCACTCACAGTCCATACCTCTGCTGGCTTGTAGCAGCTGTTCCAATGCTGTTCCACTAGAAACTGCAACCCAACAGCATGCATCAACCAACAAATACAATCCACTTTTGGCCAGTTGGATTTTTAACTTGTAGCTACAGGTTAAGCCTTGCTGTTCAATACAGTACATGTAATCCCTGCAGCTATACTGTTAGCTGCTGAGTCAACTAAAGATTGGGTTGTAACGAGTGCTGTGTTAATATTTGTTGTTAGCTCTCCAGGGCACAAACATACAATAGTCCTTCTGTACATACCAGCTAGTATAACACTGTACTGCTAGTAAGTACTGTTTTTAAATACCAACTACACATACCAACAAGTATTGTAGAGATAAACCTTTAAAATCACATACCTATACCTGTGTTATAGGATGTTGTGTTCCCTTCCACGTGCCACCATTAAGTAAAACTAACAACACGTGTAGGTACAGACAGGTAAACATTGATGATGCAATAGCAGGGAAAGCTAGACCCTTGGACATGTGCCAATGCGTGGGAATATAGCCTGGAGGGGTTTAAAATGTTCAGAACAAAACAGGAAATGGCTAGGGATAATCATTCCCACATGGCTGGACAAGGTCAAAATAATGTACAGCTGTAACAATTCATATCTGCTATACTATTCATAGTTAATACATGAAAAGGGAACAATAATTTTTGTTATTCCAAGCAAGGGGATATCAGAAAGTAGACTTATCTTGATAGTGTTTTAACACTCATGAGATACAATAGGGGCAGTGTTAAAGCTTTTTTTGCAAACATTTTGAAAAATTTACATTGAAAATAAATCACTTGCATCCAAAAACCAAATGGAGGAAAAAGAAATACACAAATGCTGACCACTGGTGATTAAAAAAACAACTTTGTTAGCACTATCGGAAAATGTTATTGTTGCACATGGTTACTACAATGACAATCAGTGTACTGTACTGCAGTGTAGTAAAGCACATTTAAATTTGTGGGCGTGTCTGATGCACACCCCCAATGTGATTTATAGGCATGGTACAGCACAATAACGCACCCTAAAATCATTTTACAAAACAACCTTACCTTCAATATCAGCTCCAAATCTCCCCAAAAACGTCAACATAAATACTTCAAAAAGATCTGTCTTCAATTCACAGCTGATTACAGTGTGTATATATACTCAGACTAGCTTAAAGTAGAGCAAGAGTTCAGTTGGGGGCTAGCGGCTATAAATGGCGAGAAACCGGTTCACACCACCCATTGTTTACACAGTTGTTGGACAATTCCAGCTTCTTCGACCTTTGGAATCGTCTGTCGTAAAACTTCAGGATGCGATAGTATAGCATGTAAAACACTTATCCATTTGCCACGTTATTATGCATGTGTTATTTATGTAGTTGCATGTGGTTGAGATAAATCAATCAAATTATAAAGTATGATGATTTTCTAATTGACATGTAAAAATCCTTCTTCTTTTAATACGATTAATGTTGACATTTCGATAGGATTAACATGATTAGGATGCAAATCCGGTTCAAAGCACATAGATGAGCTTACATTTAAGTTCATACTAAAATCAAGAAATTATATAGCTAAGTCAGCATGTCGGCCATGCGCTTGTTTTGAAATTGATTGACTGCACTGCACGACAGCTTCTATTTCTTTGCTTCTGTAGAGCTTAAAAAGTCATTTTTCGTAGAAAAAAACAATGCAAAGTTAACTCAAATGTAATCATCAAGAAGTCGACTCTTTCCTACCTATAAAGCGTTGATGAAACCGTCCGAAATTGAAGGAATGCAGCCCGGAGCAAACAATTTCGCAATTTCAAAAGATTGCCGCCATCTTGCTGAATCGTGGCATTTGCATATGACCTCAGTGACCCGCCTACCGCTACTTTTACTTTTTCCCCTCTCGAAAATTAAAATCAAAAACTATCCTTGAAATTTTATACTTTTGTAAATAATTTTTCTTATGATTCTGCTTTCATGTGAAATTAAGAACGATTTAGTTTGATGTTGTAGTTTCTAAAATCGTTTTCCCAGCGTCCTTACCAAGCAACTTTGTAGGTCACCACTGTGGTTGGAAAATGTGCCTTTTCATTTTTCCTACCCAAATATGGTTTACAAGTGATAAATCTGCCATTAACTTTACATTTTACGATTAAAAATGAGTTATACTTTATATTGGAGACTTTTTAATCCTAATAAAGCATAAAGGTTGTAAAATATCCTAAACTTGGTCGACTATGCAGGCACCGAATTGTTAGGTCACACTTGCAGAGAAAAAGATGGCGGGCGACTGTCGGAAAAGAATTTGAATTTTTGGGTTGCAAATATTGACCATTTTCTCGCTTGTACTTGACTTTCAAAGGTAGATTGTGTAATATCAGGCGACGAGAGAATGATTATGCAAGAGCCAGTTCAGGTAAGGACGCAAATCACGTCTATATCGGCAGAATTTACTGTGTTCTGGTACTGTCAAGTTTCGGCCTCTTGTTTGTATTTTTCTAGCTGTCAGATCAGAAATTTCGCTCGGACACCTAAAGTTGTCTGTTCCTGCAATGATTGCATCCTCGATACTAAAACGGATCGTATCCATAGTATATTTCCGTACGATATGTCTTATACAACAAGAACAACGTTAAGCCGATGTGTTGTGATTATGTAAGAACAAAACATGTAAATTTCCAGCTGTCGAAAAAATTATGGAGGGACAACTGTTGCTGCTTTGATTCACACAGACTGAAACGTTTTGCTTTTTGCCTTGTCCTTCTTAGAGCAGTCATTTGGACACCATTGTCGTAATCTTTAGATGAGGCTCAAATGTTTGAAATAATATGTGGTTAAAAATGAAATAATCACACTCGAAAAGAATCAATCAGTCCTTTTATTCTTTTTCACTTAAAAAAATGCCATCATGAACTTGTGCCCCTAACTTGATTTCATCATTTGTTGAAGAAGATCATCAGAGATCTTAGGTCTTGCCCATTGCTTAAGTCGTATTGTTTTGTATTTCAGGCGGCCATCTGGCATTCCTTGAACCACTATGCTTTTGCAGACGCCATCTTTCTCGCAGAACGGTTATACGCAGAGGGTAAGGATCTCTTTCTTCGTCTATAGAATTAAAAGTATAGAGTTATCACATACAAAATATAAAACATAACAGAGAGAATATTTTTGTTTTGGAAGGACCATAATTTGTAGAATCATATAAGAATGAACTGCCATTGATATCATTGTCTTTTACTCTTTAGGTTCTGTCTGACTCTTTTTCTTACGCCCCTTACAGTTGGTTCAGATGAAGCCTTGTTCCTGTTGGCCACCTGCTACTACCGATCAGGGAAGCCGTACCGAACGTACATGTTACTCCAGTCCAGGGGATGCCCCACTCCACAGTGCAAGTTCCTGTATGCAAAGTGTTGCATAGATCTGGAAAAGTAAGACATGATTTAATTATCATCACAAAAATCTGTTCTTCTACTATAAGAAGCTTACTTTTCTGTCCAAGTGTTGGTAAATATATGCCACTTCCATGTAAATAGATAGTAAAATGTCCCTTTTCCCAGTGTATTATTTTGCATTGCTGATGCACCATTTTTTTCTCAGGTATGCAGAGGGAGAGTCCACTTTTGTGGGAGGGGCGATCGGCAAGCAGCGTTCTTATGAAGAATTGGTGACAGAATTCGGAGACGCGGGATGTTTCTCCATGCAGCTTCTTGGGAAGATATTTGCGTAAGACATCAGTTGTTCTTTTAGTTTCAGCATTATTGTATGAAAGTTATAGAGTCAATTAAGTATCCAAGGTATCCAAAGCATCTTTGGTAGGTAACAATGTCTGTTCAATATTGTAAATGTTTTATGCCTTATTGTTTCTACCCATTACAGGAAGAGTGAGAGAAATAAGAGAGCCAGTGATTGTTACAGACAGAGTCTGAAACACAACCCTTTCCTGTGGTCCAGCTACCAGGCTCTATGTGACATTGGTAAGTACACATTATAATGATGCTGATGCCAACAGGTCAACGACCTGAACCAGATGTCTGTCACCATGGTAACTAGTGTTGGGTTACATCATGTTACAATTTTATAGCAGGAGGGTTTCAGACTCCTGTCACCAGAATGTGTTTAGTAAGAATTAACACAGCAGACCCATATGCAAAGGTAAACATTATGCATCTGTTTTGTAAATGCTACCTTTCTTGTTTCTTGTTGTAATATGTAACATTGAATTCAACTTTACCAAGTCACTTGTTTCTATACTGTTGAGGCTATTGTTACCATGACAACTGTTGAGGCTATTGTTACCATGACAACTGTTGAGGCTATTGTTACCATGAAAACTGTTGAGGCTATTGTTACCATGACAACTGTTGAGGCTATTGTTACCATGACAACTGTTGAGGCTATTGTAACCATGACAACTGTTTGTCATGACAACTGTTGAGGCTATTGTTACCATGACAACTGTTTGTGATAATGACTGTGAGGGTTAATATGTTACCATGACAACTGTTGAGGATTAATATGTTACCATGACAACTGTTGTTTAGGAGAGAAGCCAGACCCAGACGAGGTGTTTCAGCTGACCAACCTGCAGAACTTCAGCTCTTGCCAGTCTTCCTTCCCTCCCCCCACCCTGACTCCCCACCAGGGGGGGACCTCGGACATCACCCCTCCAGCACAGGACAGCACTAAGGTTGGCCTAACATTTGAGTTGATCTAGATTGTAACCATTCAATACACATGGAAGAATTGCTGTTGTCATGCACCACACAATGCATAACAAATTTACACATTTCAAAACAAAGTCTGTGCAATTTTCAACTCATAAAAAAAGCAATAAGTTCAGTCTTATAGTCAATACAATAAATGTTACCTACCATTGTATTCAACCATTCATTCAATGGTCATTATTTAGCACAATCAAAACTCAGGTATAGTTTCAAGTTCCTGCAAAACGGTTTTCTATTTTTTTTTATCAATCAAAACATTGTCACAGCGGTGTTATTCGAAGAACAACATAAAGTGTAATGCTTAGTACTGTTTGCATGTGTGTCAAATCATAAAACTTTTTTCACCCTTGCAGTCGCCGCTGGTAAAGCTGCAGACCCCCACCCCCACCAGCTCCACGTCTGTGGGTCTGGACATGTCGACAGGATCCCCCCAGCCCCTGGTGCAGAGAGTGCGGGGGAGGGCGGGGAGAAGCCTGCTAGGGGGGCCGGCAGCCCTCAGCCCCCTCACACCCAGGTACGGGCCGAGATACACATAGGAGGAAACAGTACAACTTACACACAGTTACAAGGATAGGGATTGTTGCGTTTACCGAAGGAAAACATATTGTTTTTGCTCTGTTTCCTCTTCTTCTTCTTCTCCAAACCAATAAGGTCAATGACCTGAACCAGACATCTGTCACCATGTGTAACTAAGTTCTCAGTACGGAAGTGACACATGAATTGCAATTGATAGAAAGGTAAAGTAAAAAACTGAAAACTAAGAAACAAATGCTGCATAGTAACACATTGTAATCTTTGTTTCAGTTTTGGAGTTCTGCCTTTAGACACCCCCAGCCCAGACATGTTCAGTACAGGGTCCTGCACCTTTGTGACCCCCTCACCCACCACTGTAGAGTGCCCACACATGGACGCCAGGGCTCCCAGCAAGAAGGTAGGCTCACCAAATATGGTCATTTCTGTTTTAGGTGTGCCAAATATGGTCATCTTTGTTCTAGCTGTGCCAAAAATGGTCATCTTTGTTCTAGCTGTGCCAAATATGGTCATCTGTGTTCTAGGTGTGCCAAATATGGTCATCTTTGTTCTAGGTGTGCCAAATATTGGTTATCTTTGTTCTAGTTTTGCCAAATATGGTCATGTGTCATCAATATTGTTCTAGGTGTGCCAAATATGGTCATGTCTGTTCTAGGTGGCCCAATATGGTCATCTGTGTTCTAGGTGTGCCAAATATGATAATTCTTGATGTTCCAAGGCCCAAATAAGTAACCCTGTGTTTTCTTACTAATTAGGTTGTAACAAGAAGAAGCTACCCGTCCCAGACCAAACCTGCAGTGTTCAGCCAGACAGGCAACAGTGGCAATGTGAAGGAATCCAACACGTTAAACACCCCCAGTCCTAGTCCCAGGTTGGTATCTTCCAAACTTTATGAAAATATTATATTATTGTTGAGCCCTATATGTTGTTTCTTGCAGGCAGTTTTTCTGCAACAGTTTTGTATCTTTAAGTTTATATCCTTTATTTGAGTTGACAAGCCATTTGGATGTGAATATTGGTCTGTTAAAGTTTTTCATCAGTATTCCTCTGACCTTTCTCCCGCCATTTTCAGTGGTCCTCAGGTTCTTGTACAGACGACAGCTCAAGGTGTCCGCCGTAGCACCCGCCTCTTCACTGCCTCCAACTCTGTAAAGGTAAGGCCAAGGGAACTTTGTCTTACAGTGTTTCATACATCTACTAAACTGACTTGCAGTACCTCGTCATGTTGCCAGAGGTCACCCCTGATTGGTGTAAGAAATTCCATATGTTTTTGTCTCGCAGTGTTTTATAGACGCTGTCATCTAGTATGAAACTGATTTGCAGTACTTTGTCATGTTGCTAGAGGGCACTTCTGAATGGTGTAGGAAAATTCCGTATCTCTTTTGTTGGTGTCCAGGAAAATAACAAGAAGCCAAAAACAAGATTTGCTGCTCCAAAAGCCCCCGCAAAGAAGACGAAGAGTCGTACAGGGAAGGGGACGTCCTCCCAGCCTACTATCACAGAGGGATCCGAGATCATCAAACCAGAGAGCACCAGTACTACAGAGTCTAAACCCAGCCAGTTACAGGTCACCTGGGCTGTCAATGTACAGAAGGCTGCTGCTGGTAAGTGGAAAATATCAGCTAGACTATGACAGAATGGACTATACTTTTCTGTCATAGGTGGCTTTGAAAGTTGTAAGCTGACAGGAGGCCCAAAATGTCAACATTTCGAGGCCTCATCAAGACCTACCCACTTACCAAATATCAAGACAATCCATCTAAGCCGTCCTGAATTATCGTGTTCACATACACACAGAGACACAGACTCACAGACATACACACACACAAATGCTACCAAAAACATAACCTAAGGTTATATATCATATGTTATAACCTAATGCTACTATTTAAGGCCTGTTTCAATTTTAGAAAACATCTCTGTTGTACAATTTTATATGTAAGGACTTTTCTTCACGGCAACAGTTGAACACAACATCAGAATTGTTTTCAATTGCCAAAAGGCAGTTACTAAAGCAACACTGGATATGATTTTGGAAATGGTCAGACGTTTCAGCTAGTATCCACTAGCTTTCGTCAGTGACTGGAAGCATCTGACCGTTTCCAAAATCATATCGAGTTGCCTAAGTAACTGCCTTTTGGCGTATCTTATTACCTGGATGTCTAACCTTCATCGACATGTTTTTAATTGTTTTTACAGAGGGCCTTATGACGTTAATGAGGGACCTAGGCCACGCCTACCTAGCACTAAGCCACTACGACTGTCGGAAGGCTGTGTCGCTGTTCCAGCAGCTGCCCCAGCACCAGTACAACACGGGCTGGGTGCTGTCTCACATCGGAAGGGCATACTTCGAACTGGCAGAGTACCACAAGGTAAGGATGAAGTGTACTTAGTCTAGCTATCTTTACAAGGAAGAAATGAAGCCCCACATTATGTCGTAATGTAAATATAGAACCATTCTGCAACAAAGTGTAATACTTATTGTTTGACTCACATAATGTAGACGCTTTCTTTTTGTATGTATGTCACTTCTTCACTTCTAATGGACACAAGGACAATGGAAACCCTTGGGAAAATCTGTCTGCCCCGGATGGCCTACTTTCTGTGACCCCCGGGCTTGTTCACTTTACACTCGGGAAGAATGCACTGTATCTGTCTAGACTTACAAGTACCAAGCTTCCTCAAAATCATGAACCATAACCCTAACAGCAACCACTGTCACCATGGCAATGTATGTTTTCATTGCCAGTCTTGTTGCTAAAATTTTGTGTATGTGTTCTGCAGGCAGAGAAGGCGTTTAAGGAGGTGCGTAAGCTGGAGCCCCACAGGGTGGAGGGTATGGAGCTGTACTCCACAGCCCTGTGGCACCTACAGAAGGACGTTCTACTGTCCTCACTAGCACAGGAACTCTCCGACATGGACAGGGACTCTGCACAGGTACTAACTTTTATAAGTATGGACAGGTTTGTGTAGTAGAGACTTGCTGTATGCTTATTTGTAGAGCCTGATCAGGGTTGGAAATACCCACTCTCACACTCTTTCGTTATGGTTTCTGTGGGAGACTTGTTGGAGACACCGTATTGCCCGGCCTGAAACTTACAGCTTCTGAAATAAACTGTGTCCTGCCTCGGTCAGCATGTGAGCGATACCTTTACAGGCGGTCTGGCTAATGGCTTGGCTTCTAAAATAAACAGCCATTGTTGAGGACAACCTGCAATATTGATAGGCAACCTAGCTTTTAGTTTAGGTTGCCTAGTTACCAACTTGAGAAAAAAAGTATTTCGAATCCTAATGATCAAGACGGCATGTTGTAGTTTTACATTTGTTATTGTCAATGCTCACCTGCTCACCCGGACGCCTGTAGACCTTCTGGTCTGTCAGTTGTCAGCCTCTGGGTCAGGTTCCTCCATGCTACCCTGTCTTGAGTCAGATTCTTCACTTCCTCGAAGTCCCTCTGCTCTCTCTGTGTGATCTCTCTGATCTGATCTTCCCACCTCTTTCTTGGCCTGCCATTTGGTCTTCTCCTCTTTGGTTTCCAGTTGTATATCCTGTTTGTATCCCTACCCTCTTGCATTCTCAGTACGTGCCCAAACCATCTCAGCTGGTTTCTTTCTATGATGTTCAGAATGGATTCCACTGAGAAAGAGCTCCTAATTATATCATTTCTCACTTTGTCCCTTAAGGTAACTCCGTAGATTAGGCGCAGTACTCTCATTTCCGTAGCTTGAATTTTGCTTTTGAGTCCATGAGTTATTGTCAATGTTCAGTGAAAAGGTCAAGAATCGTTAACCTTCTCCCTGCTGTCTAGCTCCATATCTGATACAAATTTGGTGCCAAATGGCTGCCCTAGCAGGCTGAAGGTTAAGCAGAGTGGTTAATGTTTTGTTATTTGCCCCCCTCCCCCTCAGTCCTGGTGTGCTGTGGGAAACTGTTTCTCCCTGCAGAGAGAACACGACACGGCCATCAAGTTTTTCCAGCGAGCCATCCAGGTGGAGCCCAACTTCGCGTACGCGTACACGCTGCTGGGACACGAGTACGTGCTGAACGAGGAGCTAGACAAGGCCATGTCGTG